CATCTGGAACAGGAACAGGAGAAAAACTTTCTCAGGTTTCTTACAGCATTTTTGCATCCCTATTCAACATGAGCAAGAGACCAAGTGATTGTAGTGTTGTTTCAAAAGCTAATAGAAAGTGTCTAAGCTTAGCCGAGAAACTAGATGTGTTAAAACAATATGAAAAAGGTGAGAGGTCTGTGGATATTACATGGAGCAAGCAATGAAAATATTTTCTGAAGTGGATGCATTAACAGAACAACGCCTTAAAATTTAAATAAACGCAAATGATCTCTACATATAGATGTACTGTATAATGAGAAAAGAAAGCAGCTGTGCAAGGTTTTTTCGAGAGATTTATTATTCGAAGGCCTAAACCATCAACTTCAGCTACACCATCAAATTCAGCATCATAAGCAGCTTCAACATCAACTTCAGGTTCAGTAAATTTCAGCAACAGCTTCAGCCAGAGTTGAACCTGATGATTTTGTCATCTGAGTAAAACTTGCACAATATTCATTGGTTGTCCTTATTTTTTAGACTTTACCGCCATTGGTGAATAGAATTTTAGTTTTACATTCGTAAATATTATTTAAAACATATATGAACAGTAAATAAATGTTGCTTTCACATTCATATGTTGAGAAATGACGATGTTTTCACATGAACGCACTTACTGTTCATACTTTTGCGTTCCCAATCGTCTCGCCTTATTTCTTTACCATTAGTGGTTAGCTACTTCTAGTGTTCCATTTATTAACATTAAATAGCATTACTTAAAACACACATACAGGTATTAAATTTTTTAAAATTAAGTTCACTACAGCTACAACCAGGGTCTTATGTAGAGCCATCGTCACTCATGAAAACTATGCCGTCTTGTCTCGGTGTGTGTTTTAATATTCCATGTATTATTAATGAATTGCATTGTTCATTTCACATATATAAAACATTAATTCAATCAAATACATATTCAGTAATAAACAACAATGAATCTTTTGTACATATTCTTAAGATAAATGACTATGTTTCCTTGAGTGCACACGTATACATTGGGTGTAAACACTGACAACAATGTCATCTCTTATCCTCTTGTGTGTTTTAATGATCTACGTATTAATTAATTATATTGTTCATTTCGCATACACTGTAGTACAGTTAACCCTCACTTTACGCGGTTAATGTAACCCGGAGGGTCCCGCGTAAAGTGAGAAACGCGTAAAGTGAATAACATAACATATGGGATTAATTGAAATGGAGTCCGGGCTGATCCCCAAACTCCACTTTTTGACGACACACAACTATGTTGTAGTAAAAATATTATCTTAACTTTATGATGGTATGCACACACAATTAATAATTAAGAGAAATATCAATAATATTAGGTTTTTTAACACTTACATTAGTAGAAAAAATGGCTGGGCACACGGGGATGGGCGGTTGGTTCCGAGGCAGAGGGCAGATTATTGGCCCTCACCTGTGTCACTTGTATCAATTGTATCACTATCCACCACAGAGGCTTGCAGGGCCTCTTTGTCAAACTCCCCAAAGTCCATATAAGTCCATATCCTCACCATAATTATCACTATCACTGACTTGGGCCGGCTGTGGTGGGTGGCGGGTGAAGAACTGGTAATGTTTTGATGACTGGGCGACCTCGTGCGCACCATGTTCGCGCAGCTTACACAACATGGCGGATGGCAGGAGGTTTGGATCCAAAAATGGCGCGGCTCGCCAGCCGCTCTCCGCGTAAAGGGGTACACGCACCGCGGAATGTGAGCATCCTGGGTTCCGGCAGGGCACCGCGTAAACGTGGAAACGCGGAATGCGGGACCGTGTAAAGTGAGGGTTAACTGTATAAAGATTAATTCAATCAAATACATATTCAGTCATAAACAATAATGAATCGTTTGTACATACTGTATTCTTAAGATAAATGATGCGGTATCCTTAAATGCGCACGTATATGTTGGCGTTCTCAATCCATCTCTTTTTTTTTTTTTGCCATTAGTGGTTAGCTACTTCTATTGTTCCATTTATTAACACTGAACAATGTTACTTAAAATATATATATATATATATATATATATATATATATATATATATATATATATATATATATATATATATATATATATATATATATATATATATATATATATATATATATATATATATATATATATATATATATATATATATATATATATATATATATATATATATATATTAATTTTTTTACATTAAATTTACTAAAGCTACAACCAGGGTCTTATCTTCTCCATTTTCTCGTGTAGAACTATTGTCCCGGACTCCCGGCTGTAAACACAAAAGAAAACAATGGCGTCCCATATCCTCTTGTGACCATATTATTATTATTCATTTATATTGTATAAGGTGCATTCAGAAACATTATTTAAAGAATATAGTTTGCACTTTTCATTAATTGTATTGTTTTGGGGGGGAAAAGAGGGTAAAAAGCCACACAAAAGATATGAAAAGGTCACACTTGGGAACACATCTCATTATTATTGCTTTATTTTAATGGTAAGTAATGAGTCGCGATACAATGATTCACCTTACACTGCAATATTGGAGGACACATTACCGTCGTTATTCGAAGCTTTATATATATATATATATATATATATATATATATATATATATATATATATATATATATATATATATATATATATATATATATATATATATATATATATATATATATATATATATATATATAATTTCTCCTTTTTTCTTCTTTACTCAACTAGATGTGTACACAATCCTACACACATATTGTGCAAAAATAAAATAAAATAAATTTAAAATAAAAAATAATATTCATAAGGTCAAACACAAAGTGTAAGGAATAATAATATCTTTGCGCAAGAGAGTGGGGGAGAGAGAGGAAGGAGCAGTGTGGGGGAGGCAGTTGCTAGGGAGTTGGCAGAGGCAGCTGGGCTGCATTTGCTCAGCAAGTGTTGAGGCCAAGCAGCAGCATCTACGCAAATGGCAATTGTGTTAAACTTTCATTGAGCTTTTCTTTAATGGTTTTAGCTCTATTTTTTCTTCAAGGTTATATACAAATGTTGTTTGAAGTAGTACAATTATTCAAAAACATAAGAAAGGTATGTAGTATGGTTTATGAATGCTGGGAAAGGAGGTACAGGAAGTTGTGAGTTTGCTTCTGTCTTTTGACCTGCCATGTAGGCCATTACTTTACATGTGTGAAAATATTTTATATTTTTTTTATATATTTGCATTTTTCAGTATTTAATATTAGTTTTGTTTTTGTAATGGTAACACAAGACTTGTCACTAGTCACATCCCCCTAGCCCTCTCCCTACCACTCCAGGGCAAGCTGTCAGTTTTGATTATTTTTCAACTCATAATTTCGTGGAAGGTATACAAAACTTTTTATTATCTTAGGGTCAAAAACATAAGTGACCAAACTTTCTTTGTGTATTAAGAGTTCACACCGAATGGGGGCGGGGGACTGAAGGATCGTAGCTGTTCCGATCTGCCTCCTGAGTGTCGTGAAACAATCAACATATATCATCGTCCAACAGCCAAATGACAATACTGTACAGCATTTTTTTTCTATTTTATTTATTGGTATTTTTATTTATTCCTCACATGATGAAAATTTACTGGTATATTATATTATTTTATCTTATTCTCATAGGAGTTGGTAACTGGCAAGAATTCAATTTCAGAGTTGGTAACACTATTCATAGCGTCAGCTGTTGTGGTGGTCTCGGCCCGGACGCATTGGTGTGAATCTGGTGTCTTACTACAAATTATGTCTAGGATTATACCTAGTATTTCTCAAAAGCTAGGGTCTAATTATACAAGAGATATATAAAAACTGAAGCTTTTTTACCCAAATAACATGGGTCAAGCTATATATGAGTACAGTATATACGGTATGTTAAACAATATAGTGATGTAAAAAATGGGATTTTAGTTACAACCCTTCCCATATAAAACAACAAACTCCCATACCTAACATGTACAGTAAGTCCTCACTTAAAGTTGTTTCATTTTTATAAAGATACTATTTCTATACCAAGACTCCACATAACGTTGTGTAAAATCGTTATTATGTTGTCGGTCAGATGGTACTACTTTACTCCCCACGACACATTCCCTCACCCACCTAGTGATGCTATATTATGTCACCAATGACCATCAGCCTCAGTTACTCCTCTGCCGAGTATGGATGCTGTTGTGAGTTCTGTGTTTTATTTTGTTTTGCTCTACTTTGCCTATTGCTATGGCTTCAAAATGACCAGCAAGTGATTCAGCCAGTACTGCTAGCTGCACGAAGCAATGGAGAAGCATCAGTCTTGCAGTGAAGATGGATGTTTTATGTCGCTTTGAAGCTAAGGAACGTGCTGTGAATATAAGGGTAGCATTGGGTTTATTCACTACCACGGTGCATACTATTCGTGCTAGTGCTGAGAAAATTAAGACCAGTGTTGGAAGTGCTTTGTCTTTGAAGGTTACTAAGACAAGTAACACTCATAGTGGAGTGATGAGGGCAGTGGGAGAAAGAAGAGGACCCTCTGGGTCTCAGTGACCCCCACCACCCTCCCATCTTTCGCTCACTTCACCTTAGACCATCAGTGAGTACATTAAACATAATTATACTTAAAATCTATATGTATTTACAGTGCAAATATACAAACATTTACAATCGTGTTTATATTGTATTCATTGTGATGCATGTTATGGGGGTGAAGGGAGGTTGGCAATATAACCTACTTATTTCTTTAAGTTTCAGATGATGTTGCAGTTTACAAGAGTGTAAACATGACACTAACTGAGCACTTACTGCACAGGTAAAGTAAGTAGAGTGATATTAAACAATATTAAGTAGTGTAAAAATTGAATTTTAGTTATAACACTGCCCATACAATACAACAATAATATCCCACACATAACAAATAAAGTAAATACTATAAAGTGATGTTAAACAATATAAGTAATGTAAAAAATGGGATTTTAGTTACAGATTTTTGCGATGAATATATTGGGATCCCATTCGTAAGTGTGGGTGTTCGTAAGTCGGGTGTTCGTAACTCGGGGACTGCCTGTAGCCACGTTTTGATGACAATATAATAAAAAAGTAACATTACTTGACAGTTTTCAAACTAAAATTAAATATATCATGTAGAAGAACAAGAACAAAAATTGTAACTGTACAATAAATTGGTTTATAGTGATATTAAGCATGATATTATAAAGAATAAGGGTGAAACTTCACAACACGAATTATACTGACATTGGGCCAATGGTGTCAGTAGATAAGGTGGCTGAGTTAAGTTAGATTGGGTAAAGTTTGGGAGAATTAACAATATACCGATATATATACATATTTTTGAGAATTGCAATTAAATGCCAGGTAGCGACGTATCCTACTAATATTATGTATTTAAGTAATTATTAGATGTTATAATTGACTGTAAGTTGGCCTGGCGAGTTAATGCTAGGCATTAACATACGCAGGTATACAGCTAGACGCCACATTCTGGACTCTATGTACTGCAACCAAATATGCCCCATGGCAAAATAGCACCTACGAGGATTGAGGGGTGCCGCATAGAGAGATTTTCCAGTTAGTTGAATCTCACTCTTAAGATTCCCCAATACATCCTACGATGCACAGTGCTACAGGCTGACCTCGCAAATTTGTCTCAGAAAAACGGACTTCTTTAACACTTATTCCACTCTATATAAATGATGTGGCTTAGAAATAAAGAATATGTAATATAAAACTATAAAATACAATAAGAGAAATTAAGTGAATGGGTGTGGAGGCAGTGCGCTATAGCTGTGTTGCCAACTCGCCAGGCAAGGCGTCTCGTATATTGTTACAAGTAATGAAACTATATTATGTTGTGAAAAAATAATTACAATACTCTAATGTGACTTAAAAATAAAGAGAATACAATATAAAACTATAAAATAAGAAAAGCCTGGGTGTGTATGTGTGGCCACACATCTTCCTGATGTGACGTCATAGCATACACAGAGCACAGTGCAGCAGCCACACTGTGACACTTAGAAGTGCCATTAAAGAGGTGTAGGCTTCTTTATCCTGAGCACCTTCAAAACCTAGCAGACAGTGTTCCTTGAAGGCTTAAGAACTACCTGAAGTGTAAGGGAATGCAACAAAATACTAATTGATGGCGTAAGAGCTACCGGGGTATTTTCCTTCATTTATATAACCAAACCATAAAAAATGCTTTTTTTCTTTCAGTTCATTGGCCCCCTCATGTCTCAACTTTCCACACAGACTGTACAGTGGTGGGGACTTTATGCTTTCACCCTGACTGGAAAATGACACATATCTCCAAGTACGTACCTCGATTTTTCAGGAGCTACAACTGCACTGAAAATATATACCAACTGCTTGGAACTTTTCCAGTTACAAGTGACAGACGTCCTGGGAACCATGGGCCAGTATATGCAAAACTTTTCTGCTAATGACAAAATAGTTCTGTTAACTAGCAGTAAAATGTAAAAGTGTATACACAAAGCTTAACTCGCAAATTTTTACCGCACAAATAGTTGTTTGTTAAGTACCGCTAAACAGCGCGAAGGGTAGCAGGAGTTCATCATATAAAATGATCTTATGGCTGAATAACCTCAATAAGATTATGAAGATTAATTTCAATATTTATATTTATATACATTTTGATCATTAAAATAAAAAGAAAATCTAATCTATGCAGTTTGACGGAAGATATATTAACCAAGGATAGTGATCGGTGGCTTGGCCTTACTGTGCTGTTTGTAAACAAACCCTCACACACGCGTTATTGAGGAGCGGACAAGATGAACATCACGGAAATGGAAGCTTCAACCCCAAAAAAGAAAAGGAAGCCCAACTGGACAGCATACCAGACTTTATTATTGGTAGTTGCCATTGAAGAGAAAAAGTTAATATTGAATGGCAGCTTGAAGGCTTTCCTGAATAATAAAGACAAGAAGAGGGTATGGCTGGAAATCAACAAGAGAGTCAATGTTGCTTTCTTTGAATTTCTCTCTGGGTGAGTGAGAACTTTACAAACTGACAAAAAATGTTTGGTTAAGTTAGTGCATTCAGTGTCCGAGTTATAGTACGGCTGAACGGTTCTTAAATCATCACTGCTACACAGTTGCATTCTTCCAGTCGCTAAATAATGCAAGGTTATGATCACTTTCATCTCTGGGGTTAGAGCCCTATTCCTCCCAATTCTACTTTGTAGTGTTTCCCTCACTAAATCAGTCACTGCCATGATACCTGCACGGTCCAGTCGGTATCGCACGATGGGTTCAGAAACACTGTATTCATTAATACACCTCTCCTTTTCTGATAAATGCGTTGCCGCCGCTGATGATGTTGGTTCGTCTTGGTATCAACAAACAGACAACTATTACGGGACTTAAAAGTGCTCCCGAGGTCTTTTACCTTCACAGAACTATGAATGCCCTAAAAGTTTTGTATATGTACTATTAGTGTTTAAAAGGAAAATGTCAGCCTTAACAACTGTTTGTTAGCACTTAAAAGTTTTGTGTATACCGGCCCTGGTTACCAAACTACTGTACTATGGTAACTTAACTACTTTGCATAAGTTACACAAATCACCAAAGATGAAAAAACACACAAAGTAGAAAGCTCTAACATGAGAGTTGTCAAGACAACTACAGGGGTGGATAGCTGGACACTGAATGATTAAACTACACAACTCATATTTACTAGTAGATTTGCAAAATTATAAGCCACCCACCCAAGGGAGGGAGGGGGGCAAGTTGAGATGTAGCTTAATATAGATTACCAAGCTTGGGTTGGTGGTGTTGAAGTTTAGGGTCAGAAGAATCAACCCTCCCCATTTACTGGTACTGAAATTAATTCGCTGTAAATATTATTCTTTCAAAATGGTATTAAGATTAAAGAAGCAAACAGTTATAGGCTTTTACCATCAGTCTAATAATTTTATGTAACTGGAGAATAATCCATACCATATTTGGTGAATATACAGGACTACTTTAATATTCACTCTTGTTATATACTGTACGAAACAAATATCAATACGGTAGAAAAGGAAATATATTCCTGTGAATGCCAGAGCAGTACAGTATATATGGCAATCATCAGTAATAAATATTCACAACTGACATTAGAAAACAAAACATCAACATTCCAATATATATATAAATGTTTCTTTGAGTATACAATAAATGTTTTCTCCGGCCAGTATAAAAAACAAAACGTACAGTACCATAAAGGTTTTACTCTTCTTTAAATTAGCCGTAATAAATATTCACAATTACAGTTATGAAAAAACATCAATGTTCCACATAAATATAAAGGACAGTAAAACTGATCTTATCAGCATGAGTCAGGATGCCTTCACCAGACAACTACAGATAATTTACTTTTTGAGGTTATTATTAAATTTATTTATGGATTATTAATAGTACTGGATAATGATATGATAATTGACCAATAAAATTAAAAGGATAAATATTACACCAAAATATGAATGCAAAACAAATAATGGACAGTAAGCTTGTGGCAAGAAGTAAAAGGCTAAAACTAGCATTTATGGCTCACAGGTGAGTGGCCACAAGTAACACTACAGATGACCGAGTCTTTCTTACTTGTCTCGGAGAGTCCTCACTGACCAATATGTTCTTATTCACTGGCTTTATCCACCACAATACAATTATTATATTTTTACAAAGTAAAAAATTCTCTTATTAACACTGTAGATATACCCAAATTTTATAGGTGACCATGAAATATTTCTTTGGTACAATAAGAGTTAAAAGTCTTGACCTCCAGTTCATGGTGGCATGGCCGGGAAATTAGGGAAAAAAAATAAATTTCTCTTCATTTTGCTGTGGTCAAGTGTTGAAGTGAGTGTCTTTAGATAGCCCAGTCAAGGGCCGATGATTGTAAGAGGGAGCACTGGCAACATATTCTGCATTATCTTGAAAAGTTTTTATTTACTGTACTGTACTTGTATTTTTTTGTGTCTACAGTGGTAAAATAATTTTTCCAAAGCCTTGGCCAAAGGGTTAAAGTGATGGTTGGAATCGAAAACTCACCCTGTGGATTAGAACTGAGGGCAGCTTATAACTGTGCACATACAGGGTATAGTACAAATAGTATCACTGAGGAGCTTGGTATAAGAAGGAATGCATCTCAAGGTATTGACCTGGTGATCATGAAACCTTACTGGTTCTTGTAGCAACCACTGTACTAGGGAGACTCAAACATTGCTCTGACACTAGTTTACTGGTTGAGGCACTATTTACAGCACTGACAGATACAATGGACAGCATAACCTGGCTTGTGAAAATATTCTAGCAGAAGTGTCAAATCTCACAAGTTGATAACCCTTAACTATGTGGTACATGCTGTGCAGCATAGTGGTTTTTGCTCTGAAAATTGTCTTATCAAAATGGATCACAGTGTAAAATATTCTGATGAGCAATCAACAGTAAAATTTTTTTAAACATCATCTAGCTTCTTGGGTCCTGGTTATCCATGTTAACCCAGAAATATCAGTTGACTACATTAAGTTATGTTTACACACACTGTGTATGTCACACAAACAAACTCACTAGAATGTTTGTTTTACTTCTTAAATAACAAAATTATCAAAATATTATTGAATACATATTATAAATAAACTAGAATATTAAATATAGTCTACTTAAAAGTTGACAGTTCCCTAAAGCTAGGTACATGAGTCTGTTGAAGTTCCAGAAGCTTCTATTAAGTTGCCACATTTGCCAGAAGTGGAGAGTTCATAAGCATTTATTGTCTAATTTAATAAACAGCCCAATATGTACCTTGATTATATTTATATTTATTTGTACAGTACTAATAATACATTGTTATTGTTCTTTCCACATAGTTTATGAAATTAATATTGAACAAGTTAAACCAAAGATTTGAGGTAACTTATGCCTGATGTTGCCAGTTCTCTCAAGGCCCATATCTCTGTATCTTTACCTTTGTTTGTGTATCTTTATATCTATCTTTACTGTACATCATTTACACACACACACATTCAGTCATCAAACTGTGGACTCTCTTTACTCTCACATGTCTCAACAGAATCCAGCCTCATTATTCACACAGTCTTTGTTATTCACTCACAGACACAGGACTAACTCACACCAATCAATAAGAGGAGAACATCTCAACCAATCAAGGTGTCATGTGTGAGTGCTGGTGGCTCTGGTCCCCCCCCACCCAAAACATATTTTCTAGGTTGTCTCTACCAGTCATCCCAGATTTTGTATCTCCTGGGATAAACTTTCTAAATTTGTTAGTGTGCATTGTTGGAGAATGTCAAGAAAGCAAGGAATAATGAATGTTAGCTTGAATGTATACAGAATGGAGAAAATGAAAGTGGATGTGTCATGCAAATACAACAATGAGTGATGAACTGAACAATGGAGGGACAGAGGAAAAGAAAGTACAGGTCCACAATCCCTTATCCGAAACCCTTGAGTCCAGATGTGCTTCGGTATTCAGAATGGTAGTACGGTACATATACCGTAAACAGGCTGTATTATGGTAGCACCCTAGCAGGGTCTATTGCAGTACCCCGCAAACAAACACATTAATATTTCTGCAACGAACCTTATGAATATTCACACGGTGGGATAAATAAAGACTATAAATAGTACAGTATTACAGGTTATTTGTACAGTACAGTAAAGTCACTAATGGCAAAGAAAAAAAGCAAAATGGATTGGGAATGCCAAAGTATATGTGTGCACTCAAGGAAACAGTGTCATTTATTTTATTAAGAATATGTACAAAAGATTCATTATTGTTTATTACTGAATATGTATTGTATTTGATTTAATTAATCTTTATATATACGAAATGAACAATACAATTCATCAATACTACGCAGAATATTAAAACATACAAGAGGAGACGAGACGGCATTGTTTTTGTTAGTGTTTACACCCGCGACGATGGTTCTACATAAGAAACAGAAGAAAATAAGACCCTGGTTGTAGCTGTAGTAAAATTAATGTAAAAAATTAATATATATGTTTTAAGTAATGTTATTTAATATTAATAAATGGAACAATAGAAGTAGCTAACCACTACAGGTAATGGTAAAGAAAAAAAAAAAGCGAGACGGATTGGGAACGCCAACGTATGTAATTGCGTACATGTGAAAACATAGTCATTTCTCTACATAAGAAAACGAAAGCAACACTTTTTACTGCTCATAAATGTTTTAAATAATACTTACGAATGTAAAACAAAAATTCTACTCACCAATGGTGGTAAAGTATAAAACGTAAGGACAGCCAATGAATGTTGTGAGAGTTTTTACTCAGATGACGAAGTCATCAAGTTCAACTCTGGCTGAAGCTGTAGGTTCAACTCTGGCTGAAGCTGTAGCAATGTTTTCCTATTTTTCATTAGTTTATGGTCATCACTGTCAGTGTAAAACTTCAACAACTTGTCTTTCTGTTTCTTTAAGTCATATACAGTGGTAGTTCCCACACCATAACTTTAGTAAAATGCCGCACAGGCACACCATGATCAAGCTTCTGTGATATCTCCACTTTCTGTGCTATCGATAATGAGAGATGTTTCCTTTTCTTCTCACTGTTACCTGTAGGGGTATCTGAAGCTCTTTTGGGCATTTTTGCAGTGAAATTAAACAAAATTGCAAAAAAATATCAGAGAGCAGCAGGTGCAGGTGTGACTAGTAGCAGCACTGAGACACAACTGATGCCTCACACTCGCCGTCTGGCGTGGGTCAAGTGCCGGTAGCATCAGGTCATGTTCGGCGTCACTCGGGGTATGTCGTGCGCACGAGTGATGCTCCATGAAAAAACTTTCGGTGTTCAGAGGTTTTCGGTTTTCGGAATTGTGGATAACAGATTGTCAACCTGTATTGTAATAGGCACTCTGATAAAAGGAATTAAATTAATGGATATAAAGGGCATTTGTGGAGTTGATACTATAATATAGATGTACTTTACTGTAATGTATCTGGAGAGAAGAGGAAGAAACAAATTAAAAAGGTCATAAATGGTACACACACCAGTCACCCTGCATTATAGAAGGAAATGCACTACAGAGAAGAAAACCTCAGGATCTTTAGCCTATCAACAAAAGCAAGGAATAAGTTCAAATGTCCACAAATACAAACTGGTACACACATCCTTTCTATTTTGTTTATTTTTATGCTCTCAGTCATATTCTCTTGAAATATGATATTTATTCTGGGAAAAATAATCAGACAGTTTTGCAGTCACACAATAGATGTAGTAATTATGTAGTATACTGTACAATGGTTATATTTACTCAAAATCACATCAAACCCCTTTTTTTTACCCCCCCCCCCTCCAGAAAACACATTATTATAGTTTTAACAGACATCACCAACACTGTACAAGTATAAAGTGTATTAGAAACTTCTAAGATCTATATTGTGAATGAGAAAAAACAAATAAACTGACCTGCTCATATTCATCTGTGATTGCCTTTGGCTCTTCATGCCGCTGGAACCACATCATGTATTTTGTATGGAATCTCCAAGACTGTTTCTTTAGAGCTTTAGCAGCCAGGTACTGGGCTTTGGTGCCTTCCATATAATAGAAGATAAAGAAGAGAGTTTCTGTTGACAGTCGCTGGAAGAAATCAACTGTATCTGACATTGGAGGTGAGACCTGTGGAAAGAGATGAAGAACATAAGTCTCCTTGCATTATCCAAATGTCTCTTGTTCAGATTAGTAGAGTAATAATTCTTTAAATTACATTCAATACTTATTTAATATACAATACCGTAATACCATAAATTATAATAAATTTCATCCCTTCAGTATTCTATATTTTGGAGAATAAGACAACTCATCTTACTTCGTTTCTGACTAATTAATGAACTAGTGGATTGATCCTATAATCCCAATTTGTAAGCCACCTTGGGTCAGATGACAATGCCCATTGGTACTAACCCAAGGACCAGTGAAACTTCACTGTTGATCCCATTACCCTGTAAAGGCCTCTTTGAATGGAAAGGTCACCATTAAAAGTAGTAGGTTAGAGTTGTGACACCACAATAACAGAGTGTCTTCTCTGTCTACTGGAGGTTCAGTCTCAGTAACCAGCAATACTAGGCTAAAATACTGTAAATTGACTACCAGGAGAAGGGGATATTGTCGAGTCATCTGATTCAGTCATGTTCATGAAACAGGATTTCTACATTAGTCCTTTATTTATGATCTAATGCTTGGCTCAGACAACTTGTGCAACTAAAACCAAACGAAAAAAAAAAGGAAAAGTGAAAAAGAGCTCCAACTGCTAGAGTGGTTCAGTATGCCACTACTACAGGCAGGGCCAAAGGATCTAGTTCCCAAGCCTTGCAAACTCCATGAGTTCCAAACAGCCCCCAGGAGATAGTGTAGGCAACAGGAGTAACCAATCAAAAAAAATGCTTAGTTCCTCTTGAACCACGATGATATCATTAATCTCATGGTAAATTTATGCAGATCAAGCTTAAATGCAGTACGCATCCTTTCCGCACCTTACAGAAACAAAGTTTAAATGTCCAGAGCCAAAACAACATACAGTACTGCACCAAAATATAACAAACCTACACTAAGTATAACCCAGTACATCTGTCATTATTCTCACTATAACTTTCATGGAATTTACAATAAAAAAAATATCAAGTGTGGTGAGTAGCCTTCTCTCCACAGGTCATAATGTGTTGGGGAGAAAGAGACTATGTTGTACAGTAGCAAGTGTCCTAGTTTGTCTCATAATAATACTGTAGTTCTTGCACGAGTCCCTCCAAATGTGTGTAATTCTCCCATATATTTACCTCCCCATATTGTATCGCCAAGTTTCACCAATGTTTAGTAATGTAGTCAATACTTTATGCTAAACGTGGAGAGCCTAAAACGTCTTACATATCGACCTCTTCTCCCCACCATGTCCCCCCCACCTGGCTAACCTCCCCGTCTCCTGCTATCAGCCATTCTCCCAATTTCCCTAACTTCTCCTAGCCCGGGGTCTTCCCTCAGTCACACGGTCAGCGTAGAGGATGACCTATGTCTCTCCACCCTCACACTCTACCAGCCTCCCTTTAGCATTAACTCTCTCTCTATCCCTCCACCAAATTCTTCATCCCTAAAGACCAAGTTAAGATCTGTTACTGTGTCATGGTAAATATAGTGACATTAAATTTAAAGTAAAACTCACGAGTGAAGCTGGAATTACGTTTAGGAAATAAATAATAGAGAAAGTATATATACACGTCCAAGTTAATGAAAAGAAACAAAGAATTAAGAGGTTGGCTAATTAATAAAGAATCTATATGAAACACTGAGAATATAAAGAAACAGAAATAAAAGAAGCTGGTAGAATACTGACTTGAGACCCGACACTCACAAAATAAACATATACAAAAATCGAGAAGAAATAAATTCCTGTACTGTATATAAAGAGCTGAGAAATGAAGACTTGGGAAGACTATAAAATGGAGTTGCGATAATTAGTGAAATACAAATTCAAGTTCTTATATTCGCGAGTACCTCTATTACTACACTTTTGTTTCTTTAGCTTTACAGTCAGATATTCATAATTTGCAGCTCAATGTTTATTTACATAAGAAACCACAAAAGTTGTAGAAATATCATTTCAATGCTCTAATGTGACAAAAATAAAGAAAATATAATATTGTAAAAAACTAAAAATAAGAAAAATTTAGAGGAGGAAGTGAACTGTGTGAGTTAGAGATGGGAGGTAGGGCAGTTGAAGTGTCTGGACTTGGCAGAAATTCCCCTTTTCACTGCTGAAGGCTCGGTCACTCCAGCGGCCCCGTTAAAATTACAGTACAGTACAGTACCCTGTATTCAATTTCACCACACTTCCTATATTATTTTGGTTCATTTGATACCGGGTTAAATAAACAGTATAATAAAACAATCAATATTTTGTTGTCCAGCAGCCAAATGGCATTACTATACAGTATTTCTGTCTTTTATTTTATTTATTGATATTATTAATATTTATTCCTCATATACTGGTATGTAATATTTATCTTATTCTTAAAACATTTTTATTAGATCTGCCATAATGTAAATCATTAGACTACAGGATGTACCAGTAATAAAAATATTAACAATTTTGTGATTTTATTAAAATTTATTAATACAATAATAATATCCTTTGAAATTAACAGCATCCCAGCTGCCACTCTGTCTCCCTTAGCAATGGTTGTTGCTATGGCGATCGTCGAGCATGGGGTTAGCGTCCCTGAGACTGGGACACAGTGTGTACACTAACTGTGAATCTTTTTTATTTTATTTTTTATACTTTCATTATTGCTATTTATATGATTTCGTTATTACTGTTTATATGCCTACAATTTGAAGTTTTGATGTTACAGTGTGCCATTAAAGCTATTTTTAGGGGTGAATCTAGTGAAATTTATAAATAGGAGTTGGTAACTGGTGGAAATTCAGTTTCAGGTGTTGGTAACACTGTTCATCATGTCAGCTGTTGTGGTGGTGATCAAGGTTCTAAGCACATTGGTGTGAATCTTGTCTAGGTACAAAATATGTCTAGGATTATACCCAGTACTGCATTTCTTAAAAGCTAGTGTCAAATTATACAAGTGGTATATGAAAAACTTAGACTTTTTTTGCCAAAAAGTCAGGGGTCGAACTATACACAAGAATGGCTTATACTGTACAGTACATGATTATTTGCAGTATACAGTAATAGTGAAAATATGCTGAAAAAGTTTTTCTTTATTTTTTACTGTCAATATTCTTACTTATTCCATTAACTTATTTCATTATTCTTTTAACACCCACAAAATTATTGAGTCTACAAATAAGCTGTGTCATTATTCTCTTACAGACACCATATAACTTCTTCCTCAAACTCACTGAGGACAAGTAGATGTGTCTCAACCAACAGCAGTCACTCAACCAGTTGCCTGAATGTTCAGTTTCTCCTCATGTGGTCTCATGTACTGCAGTATGTAGAAATTAATTAAAACAAAATTATTCTGTATTATTAAATACTCTATACTAATTACATAAGAACCTCTATACACCGGAATTCACTTTTTTCAGACTCTCTGAGGTGCTACGGATCACCCCACAATTCACCAGAAATATTGTCAAAAGTTCATAAAATTCAACAACAGTCCAGACAGTGGGTGTTTTCATATGGCAGTTGGACATTTGTACATGGGTGTCGCGTGGCACATGCCTCAGTCTGCGTCCCAGGCATGGGGACAAAGTCAAGTCCTCTGGCTTCAAAGCCAAAGCCATTGGATGTCACAAAGCTGAAGCAAAAGCCAGACATTAAAAAGTCATGAAGCCAAAGCTGAAGCCAGTGCTGTGCACTGTTAACATAGTGAGCGAGGGCTAGGACGATCAGCTGTTCACGCTACGTAGACAAAAGACCAGGAAATGAATACAATGCAATAACTCATCTGGGGTTGAGTGGGATTCTTTTTTCAGAAAGTTTATTTTATGATAATGTCTCATTAACCTAGCACCAAATGAACCTTAAAACAATCAGGAAATTACGGTGAAATTGTATAAAGACGTGTTAAAGGGGTCCTGGTGTATCAAGGTACTGTACTACATGTATTGTATGTACAATAAAGGGGTAGAGCTTTAGAGTGTGTGGAATCTGTAAATTAAGAATAGTTTGGGAGCGTGGATATTGTCAGCAATGCTTGAGAGAGTGCAAGTGTAGTGTCAACTGATTGATGACATTATAAAATGGAAAGCATGTATTATACAATTACCCTCCCAATAAAGGACTAATTCATGCAAGCCTTGTCTGTAATTGGAAGGATTCTGTTAATGTGAGGGGCTCCCCCCCCCCAAACCCGACCATCAAAACACACATCTTGTATGGTAATGAATACTGTACAGTACGTATATATAAATTATACTTACCTGGGTTATTTCCTCTAAGCACATTTCATTAATAAAAATATTACAGGGAAATACATATTTCATAAATCACTATTTTCAATTGTGTCATTTCAAATTACTGTCGTTTTTTAATAACCCCAAATTTGTACACCGCCGTCACTATTTTCAGAAGCCTCTATAAAAAATTTTCTCCACCATATCAGGAGTGAGTTAAATTCTGTTTTCTTGGTATACAGTACATATTACCAAGCATAAATAAGACTTTGTTCAACTTGCTTTGTTATTTAATAGAAAAATAATGCAGTAAATAAGACTTCTCCATGGGTCTGTCTACAAGGTTGCTGTGACCACCTGCTTAACTGGTTAGTTTTTTGTATTTTCTTGACATAATGTTGTCAGCCTTTGTTTCCTTTGATAAATGTGTAACAATTCAACAATGTTTACAGAAATGTTTAGATTCCTCATTAACAGTACTGTATATAAGATGCACCATTGTGGAAGATGCGCCGCCAAGCATAGCAGGGAATATCTTGAGGGGATATAAGCAGCTTCAGCTTCCATGTCAGTACTATTGAATCTTACTCAGCCTTATATCTTAAATTATCTTATAGTAACAGTTCCTTTACGGTTTTTCTTCCCTGGGGAATAATTATCACCGGAGTGGACATTTTCATCTAGTTCGGTTGGGGTTTCATGAAGTTACACAGTAGATGTAAAACTCTCAAATTATAAGACACAATGACAACATGTAAACTTTGTTTATG